TTACTCAGTTTAGTACAGGTTTGTTGTGCAGACTATATGAATGAAACTAAGGTACACTATCAGTTGAGAAAAGATACATTATAGTAGAAGATTTGCTTCTTTCCAGAGGTTTGAATTTTAGTGTTCTAGATTTTATTTTAGATCTAAACCATAAAGGGCAACATAGAAACATGAAAATAAATACCAAGTGATAACCTGCACAGTTGTCATAGTGGTTAGGACAATCTTATTTGCATGCATAATTTTCGATTGTCTTAACTACGTTAAATTAAAATAACTGATTGAAAACTGAACAATTCAGTCCAATTCTAAAGACTGAAAGAGTAGTTAGATCCCCACCCTACCCCACCCCACCCCTGTGAATTAGCAGCTTTTGGGGTGGAAGAGGCTAGCAGGTAACTTTCTGCCTCCAGGTGAGTTAGTTGTTTTCATTAACTTCAGTTAGATAAATATTTTTAATATATATCACATGTACTAGACATCCGTGATTCAGAAATGAGCAAGCCACATTTGTAACCCTGGAAAATAAGATTGCAAATGTGTTGAATACATGGAAATCATGCTTTTGAGGAATGTGGTTGTGCTCATATCTGCTTATTATAAGTCTAGAGTGTGATCAATATGATCGTTCCTTCTGTGTCCTGGTTGTAGAACTCTGTGTTCATATATATTTTTCAGGTTGTTGGTTTACTAGGTTAGGCAGATAATTATTTTCCACAGTCAAGATTTATGCCCCAGAGTCAGAAGCTTGGGTGAGCCATTTGGTAGGGCCCTGGAAATTACCTTTCTCTGTCACACAAGCAGTTGTTGTAATCAAATTGGCTCCATGCCTAGAGCAAGGCGGTGTGACTCAGTGACAGTTGCAATCAGAGCATGGAGTTAGACACAAAGAAGTCATAGATCAGGAAGTCACAGTGATGATAGCCAATTGGGATTGGACAGTTTTATATCAGTGAAATTTTTTTTAGGAATTTTTTTCTTTGAATATCATTCATCAAAGACACATTTAATCCTGTTACTATTGCATGAGATCTAAACAATTTTTTGTCATTTCCACCCCAGGCTAGATTCAATTCTTTCTGGATAAGATAATAGAATAGATTTTAAGAGAAATCACAAAGCAGAAGTTTTCAAATGTTTTGAAGTCTACAGTATGTATATTTTGTTTAAGAAAATGATCAAGCACTTAAGTTTTATATCTATCAATCTGCTTATCAATAGTTATAAATTTACATGGTAAATGATAATAAACATTTATATTGATTTATAACTAGTGGCCAAGTTTAAGGGGAAGGTGTCCGCAAAAAACTAGGGAAGGATAAATAAGGGTGTGAAGTTGTGGTGTTACAATATAATTTATTTCTTCCCTTTACAATATCAGTTATACAGCAACACAAGGTAGAAATATTTTGGTAACACCAGGGGCATCATCCTTAATTGTGGTTGAGTAGAATTGCTCTATTACCAAGTGTCTTAGTACTCTTGTGCTGCTATAACAAAAAGCCTGAGACTGGATAATTTATAAATAATAGAAATTTATTTTTCATGGTTCTGGAGTTGGAAGGTTCAAGATCAAAGCCCTACATATTCAGTATCTGTGAAGGCCTGGTCTCTGCTTTCAGGATGGTGCCTTGAACACAGTGTCCTCACATGGCCAAAGGCAGTAAGGCAGAAAGGGCTGTGAACACTGTGTGAAGCCTCTTTTATAAGGGCCTTAATCCCATTCACAAGGGAAGAGCCCTTGGGACCTAATTACCTCTTAAAGGCCTACGTTTTAGTACTGTTACATTGGAGACTGAGTTTCAATGTGAATTTTGGAGGAACACAAACATATAAACGATAACACCTGGTAAAGATGAATGCAACCTTGAGGCAATAGCAGGGAAAGGCACTCGATTCTGAAATAGGTGTCTTCACATCCGCTTACAGTATTGGAGGTCGGGGAGCAACTATTTCACACTACTTGGGAAATGCTCTTAGTTTTGTTTTTATGTTTGCTCTTTTACTCTTACTTTTGTACTTGGGAAATGTTACTTAACATGGAACTCTAGGGTTCTGTATGAGGTGTATTGAAAAAGCCATTGAAACAGTCCTGGAGAATTGTGATGCAATTCGAGACAGAGTAATTGTGTCAGGATTAAATTACATCACCTCAAAGTGAAGAGGTATTACTTGGGGAAAGAGTTTGAGTGACCATTGCATGTGATTTAGTTGGCCAGGTATGTAGGATGAACAGACTTGTATGACTAGATCACTATGTCAGGACCTCCCACCCCTAGTAATGTATACTTTTCATTCTTCTTCCCTCCCAAAGAAATTTTGTTTTGTAATGGTTTATTGCTTGAAGATGAAAATGTTGTATTTTTTCAGGAATGTATGATGTCTCTTCTCTGTGGAGATAGTTCATCCATATCATGTGCAGAAGCATCATTCAACAAATGTTTATTGAGCACCTATAATGTTCCAGGTGCTTTACTAGAGTCTTGGAATATCATGATGAACAAAATGAACAAAGACAACTGCCGTTATGGAATTTATATTTCAGTGTGCAGTGATATACAATAAATACTAAATTTTAAAAATAAATTAAGTTAGTATGGGAAAATAAAACAGTAGAGCAGAGTAAAGGGAATCAGAAGTGTTGAGGGGAGGGCATTGCAATTTTAAATAGAGTAATCAGTGTAGGCCTTTTCAAAGGAAGTGAGGGAGTTGGCCATGTGGCCGTCTGTAGGAAGAACATTTCTAGGAAGAGGAATCAGGCAGTGCAAAGGTCCTATTGTCATCATTTTCACATGGCTCACTGCCTTCATTATTCAAAGAGTATAGCATGCTGCTCACAGGGAAGTTATCATATTTTGCTATTTTGTAGCATTGGGAGAGAGCGACATCTTTTCCCAGCTTTCTATCCAGGGTTTGTAACCCCTAATACCTCAAACATCCCTGATTTGTATGGCTCAGAAAGTGACTGTGACCAGCCTTGGCCATATTTTGTGGATCCTGCCTGCCTCCTTGAAAAGGCATAGCATAGAGAAGAAATTCGATTATGTGCTACTAATATTTTTTTTTTGCTATACTGAACAGTCTAGGAAGAGATAATCATTGCTCACCATCTATTAACTGTAAAATGAACATACTCTAAGGATCATTGTTGTCTCCTCAGAAATATAACTGATGAACTTGATAGCATCATAACTATATAGTAAATGAATATGGGACATACACACACATGCAAGTGTGCCATGCACACACTCATTTTCTCTATGTGACATTTTTCTCCAAAATCTATACATCGATAATCTTCAAAGTACATGTATTGATGCAAAGTGCTTAATAAGCAATTTCGTGTGCAAATATGCTATTTCATACCATATGGTAGATTCTGGAATAACACATTTCTGTGGTATTGTGACATCATTGATATGAGTGAATAATGATAAACTGTGACTATGATTATATATGTATATATATTTGAATATACATGCATACATGCATGCACATACACACACATGCACGTACAAGGAGGGAAGGAACTAATTCAAATCTAGTAAATGTGGCCCTTAGAATAAAAAGTATGCATACTCTTTGCCAGATGGGGAATATACTCTTAGGCAAACCATAGAGATCATTAACAAACATTTACTGAGCACTTACTGCTGGTAAGGTGTTGGTACCATGGCAAGTGCTCTTGTTTCATTGCAAAACTTGAATTAATTCTGCCTTTAAGGGCAACGCAATATAGAAACAACAACAACAACAACAACAACAACTGCCATGCTGTGAGTGCTTATTATTTGCCAAGCAATGTACTACATGCATGTACTTGTATTATTGTATTATAGGAATATTGCAGTAAGTACTGTTATTAATAACAGATGAGACAACTGAGGCTCAAGGAAGCTAACAGACTGTGCAAGACCTCAGAGCTAGTAAATTCTAGATCAAGAAATCAGACCTCGGTATACTGTCCCTAGAGCCCATAGGCTTAACCACTGCATTGTGTTGCTTGGGAAGGATCTCAGAATTAGTGTTAGAATACTAGAAGGAGCATTGGGTTTGGAATCAGATGAGATCTGTTTTAAATCTTATTTCTGTCTCTTATGTGGCCACAGGCAAGTTACTTTACCTTTGAGACTCAGTTTCCTGATAATATCTGCTTTGCCAAGTTGTCATAAGATTAGAGATAATGTATGTTCCTGTGACATGGTCTGTATTGGATAAATGATAGTTGTGATTTAACTGTTATCTCTGACTCTAACCCGAGTCATAAAGAAAGAAAGCTGTGCCATACTCTAGTGCATTTAACTTTCTGTTTTCTCATTAAACAGGGCTACTGGTGGCTACTTGACAATTTGTCCCTAGAATTGAGTATAACCATTGCTAGAGGAAAGACGACTATGGAGTGCATGCTTTTCCTGTATTGCTCACAACTTATAAAACGAAGCCCATTTATTTAATTTACACCAGAGCTTTTGGTGCCGTGTAAAGTCTCTCTCTGGAGGAAACAGAGAACAAGCTGATTTCCCAAGGAGGAAGAAACAATTAGCTAAGTCATGAACTAAGGTTGTAGTTACCACATATCTTTTGGCCAGAGATAATTACTCATTAGCTTAAATCACATCAAACCAAGATTATCAATGTCACTAGAGGAAGTACTGGTTAAGGATAGCTTAAGCCATACATTACAAACTTGAAATTCAGAGATGTTTGGGATACTCAAAGACATTAGAATTTATGTAGGGTATTTTGGAATAAAAACAGAAAATCAAGCCTACAAGAAGTTATTATCCTGAAGAATAGAAGTATAAACAGGATCTTAATTAATGAATATTTTAGTAATTTTTTTTTTTTTTCACAGCTGGCCATCACAGGGATCTGAGCCTTTGACCTTGGTGTTACAACACCGCACTCTAACCAACTGAACTAACCGGTCATCCCCTCTAGTAGTTTTTGAGGAGATAATATGTCAGAGCTCATTTATTCATACTCCTCTTTTTTTATAGGTGTGGAAACTGAAAACCAGAGAAAGGAAATGCTGTGGCCAGTTCTACACAATATAGTGAAATATTTCTCATCTTGATCTTCTCCTGGATAAAGTGCTGAGGCTTAATGAAAAGTGTAATGTGTAGGGGTTCTAAAATCCAGGGGCCTTGCTAAATTTAGATTTGGTTACTGCTTATGTAATTTTCCTTGTGTTTTCAATTATTTATACAAATATATTATTTATATATGTCTGGAACTTGTGCTTTTAGCACTCAATAAACAGGAATAATTTATAGGATTATGAAGTGCTTCCTGTCCTTACCTTTCAGAGTATGTTCTTTTGCATTGCTAATTAAATTGTTACATTTCAGTCCTGTACAACTTCCTTTCCTAGCAGTCTTATGGTGATACTTAACTAGCCAGAGAGAACTATGTTAGGATCTACCTTTATCATCATATGCACGTTCCAAAATCCAGGTTAATCATTCTATTAGCCATTTCTCTAGCATAGCTAGTCTGGGGGGCTCGGTGGCATGACCCAGCAGGTCAAGTGCGGTGAGACCCTACTGGCAGAGGAAGCCACTTGCAGGCCTATATAAAAGTTGCCTCTGCTTCAAGTTTCATTTTTGCCTCTGCTTTAAAAAAAAAAAAAAAAAAGTCTAGTTCCTGATTTACTCTTTTCCACCCTACCTCATCACCTTTTTTCCTTTCTGCTGCCTTGCACTGACCTCAGGTACCCATGTCATCCTGGCTCTTAACATCCTGGATTCAGGCTACTGCCAGAAATGCTGCCTGACTCCTGCTTCTTTCTCTGCCTATACTGCTGACTTCCAGGTGTTCCCCTCATCTGACCCTCCTCATCTTTGGTTCTCACTTGGTCTTGGATTTCTGAGGTTCTTGTCCTGTGACCTACAGGATTGGATGACGACTGCTGAGAAGAGCCAACCCAGCAGGTACCCCAGCATGGTGCTTGTGTGTAAAGAGGCCTGGGTAACCTCTGAGGCAAAGGCCCGTAGCAGTATGGCCTCTCCTTCAGCCCCTCTCCTTCACAGTCTCCTCAGCATTCCACGGAGCAAATGGGGAGAGGTCCATGGTTATTTCTTCCTGAGCATGGAGTATATAGCTCTCTAATCACAATTTTTGGAAGAGTAAATATAGTGAGATACATAAACATTCCCTGTGTGGAAAGGAAGGACAAAGATTTGCAAACTGAGGTAGCTTTTTGGCTGCTGTCACTGGAAGCCGTGGGACCCTTGGCTGTGACTGAGGCCTTAGAGCATGGCATTTCCTGGATTCTTTCCATCTGTTTGATGGAGCCATCAGGTGAGCAGCACACTCTCAGACCATTTGCTCTGAAGGTATGAAACTACCTCACCACAGACATGAATGTGTATAAGGACATAGACTATATATACCATTGGCTTTGCGTATCTTGTAGTCCTTGAAAGGACTACAATATATAAAAAAAATAATTCTTAGGTAAAAGTACCATTGAAGAAAATTTCTTTTTCCTCTTCTCAGCATTGTCAGTGATTTGTTTTCTGTCTTGTGGCATGGTAAATAGTAGTCAGTCATAATGCCAGGTGTCAGTATGTGTTGAATGAAGGATGAATGGGCGGATTAATAAGCATCCCAGTGAAAGACAGGGAACTAGACCTGAGCTTATTCATACTGGGAACTCCTTCTGATACGTTATGAATCAGGAGCCCTGACAGCAGTTTTCAGGTCTTAAGGAGTGCACCTGGGGATGCGCCTGGTTAGGTGAGGCAGACTAGCCACAGCACTGGCTTTCTGGAGCCTCTGCCTCTGGTCTATTTGCTCTCTAGCACAGTTCAGTGAATAGACGCCAGAAAATTCTGGTGCCTTGTGGGGACAGCTAGATGGCCAGGGAACTCCAACCAAGACTAGCTGATTAGGCCAAGTAGGTGGTAGTTAACTGTGTGACAGGTGAAGGAGAAGATCCTGGGAAGGATAGTATACACGCCATAGTATACAGGCAAAGAGTTTTTATAAATTCATCTGGTCACCAAGTGTGTATTCGTTCCATATTTAAAACATCTAAAACTCTAAGAGTAATTTACATTAATCATAAAAAAATGTGAAAAAATATGGATTAATATAAAGTAAAAAGTCCCCCACCTGAGTGATGTCGTCAAGTGTGTATTCGTTCCATATTTAAAACATCTAAAACTCTAAGAGTAATTTACATTAATCATAAAAAAATGTGAAAAAATATGGATTAATATAAAGTAAAAAGTCCCCCACCTGAGTGATGTCGTAATCCCACACCTTGAGTAAGCACAGTTAACAGTTTCCTGTTTATCCTTTCAGGAGTAATCCCACACCTTGAGTAAGCACAGTTAACAGTTTCCTGTTTATCCTTTCAGGAGTGTTTAATGCATGTGTGACTGGTGTAGTGAATGGGCTAGACTAAATGGGGGTGAAATCAGAGAAGTAGCTTTATTTTTTCTCTAATCCAAGCTCTGTGAACCCTCTCTGCGGGTCTTTCTATACATCCTCTTGGACAGTATTTTGGGCAGATCCTGTAGCTTTTTCGAACGTGTCTAGATGTTAAAACACTCCTTTACGTTTGAATGCATTTAAAAGGTCAATCTGATCAAAATCAAAAGTTTCTTCTCATATCTCGTTTAGAACTTTTCCTCTTCCCTGAGCTTGGGCCTGGCCCTGGGTCAGAAACTTGCAGGGAGAAAGAGAAATGTGGGCTCTGGCTTTCCTCTCTGCCTTTCCACTCCTCTGGATCTCCCATTGAATCCTGGCTCCTCCAGGACTGGGCTGAGGGGCAGGGGGAGAGGTGGAAGGACAAGGTCTTGCTCAACAGGTGCTATGTAACCAGGTATCGATGACCTCTGGGTGGTGGATACTTAATGCTGGCTTTTTCCTGCATGGGATGGTTTTGTCTAGTACGGGACTTCTGCTGTCTGTTTCCTGAGCTGTTTGTTTCAAGAAATGCTTTCTCAGCCTAGTGTCTAATGACCCTCCCTCTTTCAAATGCACTCTATGGTTCCCCTCTTCTCAAAGAATGTTTCTGCTGGGGTCATCTTGCCCCATCATCCACATCTCTGGGGCAAGTTCTTTTCAAGATGACACTAGACTGGCTACCTTCCAGGGTGATTGCTTAGCCCATGGGAAGTTTGGCATCTTTGCCCCACAGAACCCTGGAAGAAGAGCTTGCTCTCACCGCAGCCCTCTTTCTTTGCTTTCTTAGAATAGGTTGTTCTAGCCACCCTCTGGCCCTCAGCTTTTTCCAGACTAGAGGCAGGCACCTCCTTCTATGCTCCTGAATTCTAGAGAACACAGGTCAAGCCCACCCAAGAGTTCTCTCACCACACTGTTACAAGAGCAGCATGGAGCAAGCCTTCTGAGTCTTTGAAGACTGGCAAGAATTGAGCTGGGGGTGAGATACTTTTTCTCTCTCTTGTGAGCCCTCAATTCTCTCCAAGGCTTTCCTTTCTTTTCTTCTCACTTGGTACCTCATTCTGTCTCACTCACAAAGAGGAAACCCCATGGAGTTCTAACACCATTAGGCCAAGGCCAACAACACTTATCCAAGCTCTTCTCTTCTTCCACAGTTTGATCAAACTCTAATATCCTCTTACAGACTGAAGGTGGGTGATGAGCTAAAGGTCATAGTGTAGAGTTTTGTTCACCTTTCAGCAAGTCCTGAATGGATAATATATCACCTCTATTTAGAAAATGAGGGAATATGTTACTTACTGTTATCAATGTTGAAACCTCAGCCAAGATTCAGAGACAACATAAAAAGCCTGTTTAAGCAACCCACACACATACCTCTAAATAGTATAACTCCTTCTCTTAACCTCAAATGTGAGTGTATGATGCTTACTGTTTTAAAACTTGTTTTCTTCACTTCAGACCATATCTTAGCATATATTCTCAGTACATATGGATCCACTATATCTTTTTAATGGTGTAGAGTAATGTACTGTATGGTCATTTCCAGATTTCTGTTATAACAAACAATGCTAAAGTGAATAGGTTTGTAGACTTTTGGGGGAATATCTGCAGAATAAATTTCTAGAAAGAGAATCGTTTTGATTTCATTAAGTAAAGTTTTAGTATATCTTGCAAATTTACCGACTGTTTA